TTGTGATGGCTCCCAACGCCCGTTGACTACCACTTCGACTTCCACTCAGGAGGTCCGCTTATCACTGAGTCAAAGAAAATCGCAGGAGCGCTTTAATAGCTTACATGAGTGAAAAGATATTGCCGCCCACTCTGAGCAGACGTTCGCATGCAATGCTTGAGTTTCACATCCCTCAGACTTTCAGATACTGTACCCTCACTTGCTGCGATTGGCCTCTGACGTATCGGGATTGTTCACCAACTTTCTTTGGACTTGGGCCACTTACTGGATTGCACTGGACTATACGTACGAACTGTGTTGGATGCTATTAGACCTATGGGCCTCGACTCAACGCTCTTGCCTACCATGATAAAGGCATTGAAGCTTGGCTAGTGCCAGTCCCTGCACACCAAACATGATAAAGACACCGAAGCTTGGCCAGGACGAGTACATTGTAAAAAGTGCGGCCATGTGTGGCATGTGGTTATCATTTGAAAGCTAGTTGACGATAATAGACAGTCGTTGACGATTACACAGATGGAGATTTGTTACCCTACTTTGTTGATGCCAGAAAGTCACTTCCTCTACACATCAAGCTACAACCCAAACTTCCCCTTGATTGATCCAATACATATGTGTGATGTCTGCGAGAACACTGCCATAGTCTTGTGGATAAAACGTTGCATAACTCGTCATTTTGCTGCAAAGTCTGGTATGGGTATTGGCTCTTCAAGCATCTACCTACAACCATAAATTCCAACCCATGATCACCATGCCTCGTGGAACCAACATTGAGCCAGTAGCATACTCACAACCAGCTCTATCCCAATCCACCCCCAAAACACATAAATATTTTCCTACCCTTTACCCCAATCGTTTCCTTGTTGCTACCTAGTGTAAAAACTGCTTTTTTTTTTTTTTTTTAGACGACAATGCTTGAGCCTCAGTAAGCCCTACAAAGCCCTGTTTCAGACAGAACGGCCTCCCTAAGTGTTACATCTTCGACGCCACACGGGTCCTACCGGACCCGACTTAGGGTTAGAGGGACACAGTAGGGCCTAAAGGCCCGACCTTGGGGGATTATCAGGCCGAAAGGCCACGACTTGGACCAGACCGACGGACCAGGCCCAAACGACATTTGCGTTTTGGGCCTGGCGGTGCCTTTGAGGCTGCCGCTCTCCGATCGGATCTGGATCGTCGATCTGGACGATTCAGATCCAACCGAGGCCTCGCAGCATTGAGGCCGGTCTTCTTCGAACCAGTACTTAGTACTGGTCCGGCCTCACTTCGAGGGATCGACCCACCGACATTCTACGAGGTGCGGTAAGGTACAACGCCAGAGCGCTGTTTGAGCGCTATTCTTAGCGCGGGAGCGAAGGACAGCAGCAGCAGCGCAAGCTAGCGCAGCAGCAGCAGCGAGTGAGGATCCCAACAGCAGCACGGCGGCCATTGCCGCCTCAGCAGCAGCACGACAAGTACCTGGAGGCGAGGATCTTTTATCCTCCCTCCACAGTCCCGTTCCCTCCTCCTCACCTCCGTCTCCCCCTCTGCCATCTCTCCTTCTTCTTCTTTTTCTTCTTCTTCTTCTTCTTCTTCTCCTTCTCCTTCACTTCTTCTTTTTTTTCTTCTTCAGATGGAGTCTTCATACTAGTTGGACAAAGATCAGTGTTGAACTTCGGTGGTATGAGGTTGTGGTACTTACCGGATTCGAGACTTGGAGATTATTGGGGTTGATACTCGGCGGCATAACAGTTCGGACACCGTTTACATTAGGACTCTATATCTCTGACATTGGTGACTTATTGTCCTCGACATTTTGATCTTGTTTGATGACATTTTGGGCTACCATATCGGTGACCTATCGGATTCTATTTCGGTGACCTCCGGTGTTGTCTACCTCCCCCACCTCCTTCGTCTCTCCTCCCACCTTTCATCCGTGTATGTGTGTACGGGGCTTGAGCATCGTCTATGCATGGCTCAGACCCCATCATCTCACGATTGTATGTGTGTGGAGTGATATCTGTGTGAGTCAGTTTACGTGAGTCAGTCCGTTTATCAGACTTCCGCTGCATACATGCTCTTCCTATATTAGTTGATCTTTGGTTCTGCCCCATACTCGTGGATGAAATCACGAGTATGTAACAGTTTTGGTATCGGAGCAGACCATTTCACGGATCTGCTCACCAGGTAAGTCTGATTAGGAATTAGATTGCTTCTTCAGTCTTCCAAATCAGCTCTGTATTACTATCGAGTTCAAAATTGCAAATTTTTTTTTTTCCTTCGGTATTTTGTTTAATTCGGCATTCCGGTTTTCAATTCAGTATTCGGGCTTATAATTTGGATTTCTGTTTTACGCCGGTATGCTGTTTAATTAGGTTCCGGTAAATGGATACTAATCCGACATTCTGTCTAATTCGAATTTCTGATTATTAATTCGTAATTAGGCTAAATCAGTACTCTGTTTAATTCGGCATTCTAATTTCAATTCGGTTTCCGTTTTTGTAATTCCGTATTCTAATTTTAATCCTGTATTTCGTTTTCAAAATCGGCATTTCCGTTTTATTGCAGTATGAGAAATTAGGGTTACGGAAAGTTTGGTTTTCGATCAACTTGGAAAATTTGAATTTTTTCGAACCGTAAATCTGGAAATTTCACGAAAACGAGGAAAATTAGGGTTGGGCCCGAAATTTTCGCGATTGATTTTTTTTTTTTTCCCCTTGTTTAAGAAATTTCGAAAACGGATTAAGGCCTTTAAAAATCGGATTTTGACGGTGGGAATTCCCGAAAATTCACGTTTTTTTAAAATTCGAGTATTTTCTCTGGATTTTTTCGAATATTTTTTTTGGCAAACTAATCCGAATTTGACCCTCGAAGTTGTAACTTCCGGGTAGTTCACTAATCAACGGTGAACTCCTGGACCACACTTGATCTCAACAGATACCTAATCTTGATACAATGCAAATTCGTTCATTATCATTATTGCAAACATTGTTTTATTGATTATGATTAAGAAATCATTATTGCAAACATTGTTTTATTGATTATCATTAAGAATTTTATTTCGTTATTAATCATTAATTAAAATTTATTGATTAAATAATTCGTTATTTGTTCTTATTACGAATTTTTGCGTTGTTTACGGAAAATTATTTTTTTCTGTTGATTAGGTGTCTTAAGTCCATCAGTAGGACAGGGGACTGTATGTGAATTGTTTGATTGTTCTACCCCTGTCCCCACACCTCCTTACCTCCCCGTACTCTGTGGCCACCGGGACCTTTCAAGTACCGCATCAGTTCACGCTGATGCCGATGAAACAGGACGCACTGCCACGACGCAGTGCCAGGCTTGCAGTTCGTGCCTGACCTGTGGTACCTCCACGAACCAAGGCTCGGCAACAGAGACTCAGCAGGCGGACGACTCCAGCGGCATCGAGTACAGCATTGACGGTACCGGTTACCACCGGAGTTCTTCCCGCATGTCCGGTCCAAGGGGCCCTTGAACCGCTGGCTGACTACCTTGGGCGGCTACAGGTATTCACAGATACCGTAGCTGCCGCCAAGGCTTAGCAGGAGGCTGCAGAGGCGGAACGTCAGCGGCTGGCCAATGAGGCGGCAGCCCAAGCTCAGCAAACTGCTGAGGCTGACGCAGTGGCACGAGACAGACGGAATGCCGCCATCATGGAGTCCCTGATTCAAAATGAGAATCAGTGGACATCACTACTCCAAGGCATGTACTTTGTGCCTACGGACTCGCAGGCGGAGCCGATACAGGCAGAGGCAGAGAGAAGTAACCTGGCTACCGTGATGTTGAACGTGATGAGGGGAGTAATGTGGAACAACAAACTGCTGCAGGCACTCCTGCACGTGGAACGACAGCAAAGACAGCAGCGCCAGCAAAACCTTGCTGATTTAAGGACTGCCGTCCRCAACGCAGCAACGCAGCAGCAGCAACAACACCAACTGTTGAACTCTACCCTCGCACGCATCAACGGCATTGAGGCTAAGGCCTCAGCAGCGCCAGGCTGCACGACAGACGCGACGAAGCAACTCAACGAGCGCATCGATCACGTCGTCACCATCATTGGCGAACTAGGTGATTTCACTAGTCCGGCCACGATCAGCAGTACGGTGGCCGCCATCAAGATGAACATCACCAAACTGCAGACAAGACCGGACGCCGCCACAAGGAACTACAAGATGCCAAACTTCACCATCAGCAAGTTCGACGACTACAACAAGACGGACGCCTTGACATGGTGGCAAAGTTTCCTAACGGAAGCATCATACCGCACTGTCCCGCCGGACGACATGATGAAGGCACTCTACTTACAACTGATTGGAGGGGCGCAGGCATGGATGAACCATCTGGTGGCTACCAAGAAATGCACCATCGCCGAACTCCACACGCACATTCCGTGGAAGGCGTTCGAGCAACTTTGGTTCACTCGCTTCATGGTCCGCAACGTCGTGAAGGCGGTCATGAATGAGGTATACACATGCTCACAAGGGAGTATGCCAACTCGAGACTGGACAACCAAGTGGCAAAAGATAGTGACCACGCTTGGCTTCGATTTGAGTTTTCCTAACCAGCGATCCGAGTTCTTCTCGCGATCATGCGCAGGACTGCGAACCGCACTCGACAACGAGTACGATTATGCCTCATTCCAGTCTATTCTAGATCGTGCAAACTTGGTCATCCAAACGGATGACAAGGCCGCAAACGAACGACAGTCCCAACCGCATTATGTGGCAAAGCAGGCCTATTAACGACCGGCACATAACAATACCGTGATTTATGAAGAAACAGTCGATCTCCACGCTGCAACAGCATCCTCGAGTGATGGAGGAATTGTAGTAGCGCTCCCGCCGAAGCATCCCAAGAGAGTTCGGAAGAACAAGGCGACACAAGAGACGGCATCGACGGGAACAGGGCAGCAGCCATGGACGGCATACAAGATCACCAAGGAAATCTACGACCTTCGTCAAAAGTACGGATACTGCCTTTGGTGCAATGGGGTCACTCATTTGACCGCACAATGCCCCGAAATGGGCAAGGCACGCATACCCCGTCCAGCTAACTCGGGAAACTGAGTTACGCAAGGAGAGGGGCGACGCCTCTCCTCACTCCGCCGGACCCGGTTGCCTTGCTAGCAATCGACGTCACTACCGGGGAGCATGCGTTAGTCGCTGATTCTCGTGCTACGTACGAGGAT